CCCCCCCCCCCCCCCCCCCCCCCCCCCCCCCCCCCCCCCCCCCCCCCCCCCCCCCCCCCCCCCCCCCCCCCCCCCCCCCCCCCCCCCCCCCCCCCCCCCCCCCCCCCCCCCCCCCCCCCCCCCCCCCCCCCCCCCCCCCCCCCCCCCCCCCCCCCCCCCCCCCCCCCCCCCCCCCCCCCCCCCCCCCCCCCCCCCCCCCCCCCCCCCCCCCCCCCCCCCCCCCCCCCCCCCCCCCCCCCCCCCCCCCCCCCCCCCCCCCCCCCCCCCCCCCCCCCCCCCCCCCCCCCCCCCCCCCCCCCCCCCCCCCCCCCCCCCCCCCCCCCCCCCCCCCCCCCCCCCCCCCCCCCCCCCCCCCCCCCCCCCCCCCCCCCCCCCCCCCCCCCCCCCCCCCCCCCCCCCCCCCCCCCCCCCCCCCCCCCCCCCCCCCCCCCCCCCCCCCCCCCCCCCCCCCCCCCCCCCCCCCCCCCCCCCCCCCCCCCCCCCCCCCCCCCCCCCCCCCCCCCCCCCCCCCCCCCCCCCCCCCCCCCCCCCCCCCCCCCCCCCCCCCCCCCCCCCCCCCCCCCCCCCCCCCCCCCCCCCCCCCCCCCCCCCCCCCCCCCCCCCCCCCCCCCCCCCCCCCCCCCCCCCCCCCCCCCCCCCCCCCCCCCCCCCCCCCCCCCCCCCCCCCCCCCCCCCCCCCCCCCCCCCCCCCCCCCCCCCCCCCCCCCCCCCCCCCCCCCCCCCCCCCCCCCCCCCCCCCCCCCCCCCCCCCCCCCCCCCCCCCCCCCCCCCCCCCCCCCCCCCCCCCCCCCCCCCCCCCCCCCCCCCCCCCCCCCCCCCCCCCCCCCCCCCCCCCCCCCCCCCCCCCCCCCCCCCCCCCCCCCCCCCCCCCCCCCCCCCCCCCCCCCCCCCCCCCCCCCCCCCCCCCCCCCCCCCCCCCCCCCCCCCCCCCCCCCCCCCCCCCCCCCCCCCCCCCCCCCCCCCCCCCCCCCCCCCCCCCCCCCCCCCCCCCCCCCCCCCCCCCCCCCCCCCCCCCCCCCCCCCCCCCCCCCCCCCCCCCCCCCCCCCCCCCCCCCCCCCCCCCCCCCCCCCCCCCCCCCCCCCCCCCCCCCCCCCCCCCCCCCCCCCCCCCCCCCCCCCCCCCCCCCCCCCCCCCCCCCCCCCCCCCCCCCCCCCCCCCCCCCCCCCCCCCCCCCCCCCCCCCCCCCCCCCCCCCCCCCCCCCCCCCCCCCCCCCCCCCCCCCCCCCCCCCCCCCCCCCCCCCCCCCCCCCCCCCCCCCCCCCCCCCCCCCCCCCCCCCCCCCCCCCCCCCCCCCCCCCCCCCCCCCCCCCCCCCCCCCCCCCCCCCCCCCCCCCCCCCCCCCCCCCCCCCCCCCCCCCCCCCCCCCCCCCCCCCCCCCCCCCCCCCCCCCCCCCCCCCCCCCCCCCCCCCCCCCCCCCCCCCCCCCCCCCCCCCCCCCCCCCCCCCCCCCCCCCCCCCCCCCCCCCCCCCCCCCCCCCCCCCCCCCCCCCCCCCCCCCCCCCCCCCCCCCCCCCCCCCCCCCCCCCCCCCCCCCCCCCCCCCCCCCCCCCCCCCCCCCCCCCCCCCCCCCCCCCCCCCCCCCCCCCCCCCCCCCCCCCCCCCCCCCCCCCCCCCCCCCCCCCCCCCCCCCCCCCCCCCCCCCCCCCCCCCCCCCCCCCCCCCCCCCCCCCCCCCCCCCCCCCCCCCCCCCCCCCCCCCCCCCCCCCCCCCCCCCCCCCCCCCCCCCCCCCCCCCCCCCCCCCCCCCCCCCCCCCCCCCCCCCCCCCCCCCCCCCCCCCCCCCCCCCCCCCCCCCCCCCCCCCCCCCCCCCCCCCCCCCCCCCCCCCCCCCCCCCCCCCCCCCCCCCCCCCCCCCCCCCCCCCCCCCCCCCCCCCCCCCCCCCCCCCCCCCCCCCCCCCCCCCCCCCCCCCCCCCCCCCCCCCCCCCCCCCCCCCCCCCCCCCCCCCCCCCCCCCCCCCCCCCCCCCCCCCCCCCCCCCCCCCCCCCCCCCCCCCCCCCCCCCCCCCCCCCCCCCCCCCCCCCCCCCCCCCCCCCCCCCCCCCCCCCCCCCCCCCCCCCCCCCCCCCCCCCCCCCCCCCCCCCCCCCCCCCCCCCCCCCCCCCCCCCCCCCCCCCCCCCCCCCCCCCCCCCCCCCCCCCCCCCCCCCCCCCCCCCCCCCCCCCCCCCCCCCCCCCCCCCCCCCCCCCCCCCCCCCCCCCCCCCCCCCCCCCCCCCCCCCCCCCCCCCCCCCCCCCCCCCCCCCCCCCCCCCCCCCCCCCCCCCCCCCCCCCCCCCCCCCCCCCCCCCCCCCCCCCCCCCCCCCCCCCCCCCCCCCCCCCCCCCCCCCCCCCCCCCCCCCCCCCCCCCCCCCCCCCCCCCCCCCCCCCCCCCCCCCCCCCCCCCCCCCCCCCCCCCCCCCCCCCCCCCCCCCCCCCCCCCCCCCCCCCCCCCCCCCCCCCCCCCCCCCCCCCCCCCCCCCCCCCCCCCCCCCCCCCCCCCCCCCCCCCCCCCCCCCCCCCCCCCCCCCCCCCCCCCCCCCCCCCCCCCCCCCCCCCCCCCCCCCCCCCCCCCCCCCCCCCCCCCCCCCCCCCCCCCCCCCCCCCCCCCCCCCCCCCCCCCCCCCCCCCCCCCCCCCCCCCCCCCCCCCCCCCCCCCCCCCCCCCCCCCCCCCCCCCCCCCCCCCCCCCCCCCCCCCCCCCCCCCCCCCCCCCCCCCCCCCCCCCCCCCCCCCCCCCCCCCCCCCCCCCCCCCCCCCCCCCCCCCCCCCCCCCCCCCCCCCCCCCCCCCCCCCCCCCCCCCCCCCCCCCCCCCCCCCCCCCCCCCCCCCCCCCCCCCCCCCCCCCCCCCCCCCCCCCCCCCCCCCCCCCCCCCCCCCCCCCCCCCCCCCCCCCCCCCCCCCCCCCCCCCCCCCCCCCCCCCCCCCCCCCCCCCCCCCCCCCCCCCCCCCCCCCCCCCCCCCCCCCCCCCCCCCCCCCCCCCCCCCCCCCCCCCCCCCCCCCCCCCCCCCCCCCCCCCCCCCCCCCCCCCCCCCCCCCCCCCCCCCCCCCCCCCCCCCCCCCCCCCCCCCCCCCCCCCCCCCCCCCCCCCCCCCCCCCCCCCCCCCCCCCCCCCCCCCCCCCCCCCCCCCCCCCCCCCCCCCCCCCCCCCCCCCCCCCCCCCCCCCCCCCCCCCCCCCCCCCCCCCCCCCCCCCCCCCCCCCCCCCCCCCCCCCCCCCCCCCCCCCCCCCCCCCCCCCCCCCCCCCCCCCCCCCCCCCCCCCCCCCCCCCCCCCCCCCCCCCCCCCCCCCCCCCCCCCCCCCCCCCCCCCCCCCCCCCCCCCCCCCCCCCCCCCCCCCCCCCCCCCCCCCCCCCCCCCCCCCCCCCCCCCCCCCCCCCCCCCCCCCCCCCCCCCCCCCCCCCCCCCCCCCCCCCCCCCCCCCCCCCCCCCCCCCCCCCCCCCCCCCCCCCCCCCCCCCCCCCCCCCCCCCCCCCCCCCCCCCCCCCCCCCCCCCCCCCCCCCCCCCCCCCCCCCCCCCCCCCCCCCCCCCCCCCCCCCCCCCCCCCCCCCCCCCCCCCCCCCCCCCCCCCCCCCCCCCCCCCCCCCCCCCCCCCCCCCCCCCCCCCCCCCCCCCCCCCCCCCCCCCCCCCCCCCCCCCCCCCCCCCCCCCCCCCCCCCCCCCCCCCCCCCCCCCCCCCCCCCCCCCCCCCCCCCCCCCCCCCCCCCCCCCCCCCCCCCCCCCCCCCCCCCCCCCCCCCCCCCCCCCCCCCCCCCCCCCCCCCCCCCCCCCCCCCCCCCCCCCCCCCCCCCCCCCCCCCCCCCCCCCCCCCCCCCCCCCCCCCCCCCCCCCCCCCCCCCCCCCCCCCCCCCCCCCCCCCCCCCCCCCCCCCCCCCCCCCCCCCCCCCCCCCCCCCCCCCCCCCCCCCCCCCCCCCCCCCCCCCCCCCCCCCCCCCCCCCCCCCCCCCCCCCCCCCCCCCCCCCCCCCCCCCCCCCCCCCCCCCCCCCCCCCCCCCCCCCCCCCCCCCCCCCCCCCCCCCCCCCCCCCCCCCCCCCCCCCCCCCCCCCCCCCCCCCCCCCCCCCCCCCCCCCCCCCCCCCCCCCCCCCCCCCCCCCCCCCCCCCCCCCCCCCCCCCCCCCCCCCCCCCCCCCCCCCCCCCCCCCCCCCCCCCCCCCCCCCCCCCCCCCCCCCCCCCCCCCCCCCCCCCCCCCCCCCCCCCCCCCCCCCCCCCCCCCCCCCCCCCCCCCCCCCCCCCCCCCCCCCCCCCCCCCCCCCCCCCCCCCCCCCCCCCCCCCCCCCCCCCCCCCCCCCCCCCCCCCCCCCCCCCCCCCCCCCCCCCCCCCCCCCCCCCCCCCCCCCCCCCCCCCCCCCCCCCCCCCCCCCCCCCCCCCCCCCCCCCCCCCCCCCCCCCCCCCCCCCCCCCCCCCCCCCCCCCCCCCCCCCCCCCCCCCCCCCCCCCCCCCCCCCCCCCCCCCCCCCCCCCCCCCCCCCCCCCCCCCCCCCCCCCCCCCCCCCCCCCCCCCCCCCCCCCCCCCCCCCCCCCCCCCCCCCCCCCCCCCCCCCCCCCCCCCCCCCCCCCCCCCCCCCCCCCCCCCCCCCCCCCCCCCCCCCCCCCCCCCCCCCCCCCCCCCCCCCCCCCCCCCCCCCCCCCCCCCCCCCCCCCCCCCCCCCCCCCCCCCCCCCCCCCCCCCCCCCCCCCCCCCCCCCCCCCCCCCCCCCCCCCCCCCCCCCCCCCCCCCCCCCCCCCCCCCCCCCCCCCCCCCCCCCCCCCCCCCCCCCCCCCCCCCCCCCCCCCCCCCCCCCCCCCCCCCCCCCCCCCCCCCCCCCCCCCCCCCCCCCCCCCCCCCCCCCCCCCCCCCCCCCCCCCCCCCCCCCCCCCCCCCCCCCCCCCCCCCCCCCCCCCCCCCCCCCCCCCCCCCCCCCCCCCCCCCCCCCCCCCCCCCCCCCCCCCCCCCCCCCCCCCCCCCCCCCCCCCCCCCCCCCCCCCCCCCCCCCCCCCCCCCCCCCCCCCCCCCCCCCCCCCCCCCCCCCCCCCCCCCCCCCCCCCCCCCCCCCCCCCCCCCCCCCCCCCCCCCCCCCCCCCCCCCCCCCCCCCCCCCCCCCCCCCCCCCCCCCCCCCCCCCCCCCCCCCCCCCCCCCCCCCCCCCCCCCCCCCCCCCCCCCCCCCCCCCCCCCCCCCCCCCCCCCCCCCCCCCCCCCCCCCCCCCCCCCCCCCCCCCCCCCCCCCCCCCCCCCCCCCCCCCCCCCCCCCCCCCCCCCCCCCCCCCCCCCCCCCCCCCCCCCCCCCCCCCCCCCCCCCCCCCCCCCCCCCCCCCCCCCCCCCCCCCCCCCCCCCCCCCCCCCCCCCCCCCCCCCCCCCCCCCCCCCCCCCCCCCCCCCCCCCCCCCCCCCCCCCCCCCCCCCCCCCCCCCCCCCCCCCCCCCCCCCCCCCCCCCCCCCCCCCCCCCCCCCCCCCCCCCCCCCCCCCCCCCCCCCCCCCCCCCCCCCCCCCCCCCCCCCCCCCCCCCCCCCCCCCCCCCCCCCCCCCCCCCCCCCCCCCCCCCCCCCCCCCCCCCCCCCCCCCCCCCCCCCCCCCCCCCCCCCCCCCCCCCCCCCCCCCCCCCCCCCCCCCCCCCCCCCCCCCCCCCCCCCCCCCCCCCCCCCCCCCCCCCCCCCCCCCCCCCCCCCCCCCCCCCCCCCCCCCCCCCCCCCCCCCCCCCCCCCCCCCCCCCCCCCCCCCCCCCCCCCCCCCCCCCCCCCCCCCCCCCCCCCCCCCCCCCCCCCCCCCCCCCCCCCCCCCCCCCCCCCCCCCCCCCCCCCCCCCCCCCCCCCCCCCCCCCCCCCCCCCCCCCCCCCCCCCCCCCCCCCCCCCCCCCCCCCCCCCCCCCCCCCCCCCCCCCCCCCCCCCCCCCCCCCCCCCCCCCCCCCCCCCCCCCCCCCCCCCCCCCCCCCCCCCCCCCCCCCCCCCCCCCCCCCCCCCCCCCCCCCCCCCCCCCCCCCCCCCCCCCCCCCCCCCCCCCCCCCCCCCCCCCCCCCCCCCCCCCCCCCCCCCCCCCCCCCCCCCCCCCCCCCCCCCCCCCCCCCCCCCCCCCCCCCCCCCCCCCCCCCCCCCCCCCCCCCCCCCCCCCCCCCCCCCCCCCCCCCCCCCCCCCCCCCCCCCCCCCCCCCCCCCCCCCCCCCCCCCCCCCCCCCCCCCCCCCCCCCCCCCCCCCCCCCCCCCCCCCCCCCCCCCCCCCCCCCCCCCCCCCCCCCCCCCCCCCCCCCCCCCCCCCCCCCCCCCCCCCCCCCCCCCCCCCCCCCCCCCCCCCCCCCCCCCCCCCCCCCCCCCCCCCCCCCCCCCCCCCCCCCCCCCCCCCCCCCCCCCCCCCCCCCCCCCCCCCCCCCCCCCCCCCCCCCCCCCCCCCCCCCCCCCCCCCCCCCCCCCCCCCCCCCCCCCCCCCCCCCCCCCCCCCCCCCCCCCCCCCCCCCCCCCCCCCCCCCCCCCCCCCCCCCCCCCCCCCCCCCCCCCCCCCCCCCCCCCCCCCCCCCCCCCCCCCCCCCCCCCCCCCCCCCCCCCCCCCCCCCCCCCCCCCCCCCCCCCCCCCCCCCCCCCCCCCCCCCCCCCCCCCCCCCCCCCCCCCCCCCCCCCCCCCCCCCCCCCCCCCCCCCCCCCCCCCCCCCCCCCCCCCCCCCCCCCCCCCCCCCCCCCCCCCCCCCCCCCCCCCCCCCCCCCCCCCCCCCCCCCCCCCCCCCCCCCCCCCCCCCCCCCCCCCCCCCCCCCCCCCCCCCCCCCCCCCCCCCCCCCCCCCCCCCCCCCCCCCCCCCCCCCCCCCCCCCCCCCCCCCCCCCCCCCCCCCCCCCCCCCCCCCCCCCCCCCCCCCCCCCCCCCCCCCCCCCCCCCCCCCCCCCCCCCCCCCCCCCCCCCCCCCCCCCCCCCCCCCCCCCCCCCCCCCCCCCCCCCCCCCCCCCCCCCCCCCCCCCCCCCCCCCCCCCCCCCCCCCCCCCCCCCCCCCCCCCCCCCCCCCCCCCCCCCCCCCCCCCCCCCCCCCCCCCCCCCCCCCCCCCCCCCCCCCCCCCCCCCCCCCCCCCCCCCCCCCCCCCCCCCCCCCCCCCCCCCCCCCCCCCCCCCCCCCCCCCCCCCCCCCCCCCCCCCCCCCCCCCCCCCCCCCCCCCCCCCCCCCCCCCCCCCCCCCCCCCCCCCCCCCCCCCCCCCCCCCCCCCCCCCCCCCCCCCCCCCCCCCCCCCCCCCCCCCCCCCCCCCCCCCCCCCCCCCCCCCCCCCCCCCCCCCCCCCCCCCCCCCCCCCCCCCCCCCCCCCCCCCCCCCCCCCCCCCCCCCCCCCCCCCCCCCCCCCCCCCCCCCCCCCCCCCCCCCCCCCCCCCCCCCCCCCCCCCCCCCCCCCCCCCCCCCCCCCCCCCCCCCCCCCCCCCCCCCCCCCCCCCCCCCCCCCCCCCCCCCCCCCCCCCCCCCCCCCCCCCCCCCCCCCCCCCCCCCCCCCCCCCCCCCCCCCCCCCCCCCCCCCCCCCCCCCCCCCCCCCCCCCCCCCCCCCCCCCCCCCCCCCCCCCCCCCCCCCCCCCCCCCCCCCCCCCCCCCCCCCCCCCCCCCCCCCCCCCCCCCCCCCCCCCCCCCCCCCCCCCCCCCCCCCCCCCCCCCCCCCCCCACCCCCCCCCCCCCCCCCCCCCCCCCCCCCCCCCCCCCCCCCCCCCCCCCCCCCCCCCCCCCCCCCCCCCCCCCCCCCCCCCCCCCCCCCCCCCCCCCCCCCCCCCCCCCCCCCCCCCCCCCCCCCCCCCCCCCCCCCCCCCCCCCCCCCCCCCCCCCCCCCCCCCCCCCCCCCCCCCCCCCCCCCCCCCCCCCCCCCCCCCCCCCCCCCCCCCCCCCCCCCCCCCCCCCCCCCCCCCCCCCCCCCCCCCCCCCCCCCCCCCCCCCCCCCCCCCCCCCCCCCCCCCCCCCCCCCCCCCCCCCCCCCCCCCCCCCCCCCCCCCCCCCCCCCCCCCCCCCCCCCCCCCCCCCCCCCCCCCCCCCCCCCCCCCCCCCCCCCCCCCCCCCCCCCCCCCCCCCCCCCCCCCCCCCCCCCCCCCCCCCCCCCCCCCCCCCCCCCCCCCCCCCCCCCCCCCCCCCCCCCCCCCCCCCCCCCCCCCCCCCCCCCCCCCCCCCCCCCCCCCCCCCCCCCCCCCCCCCCCCCCCCCCCCCCCCCCCCCCCCCCCCCCCCCCCCCCCCCCCCCCCCCCCCCCCCCCCCCCCCCCCCCCCCCCCCCCCCCCCCCCCCCCCCCCCCCACCCCCCCCCCCCCCCCCCCCCCCCCCCCCCCCCCCCCCCCCCCCCCCCCCCCCCCCCCCCCCCCCCCCCCCCCCCCCCCCCCCCCCCCCCCCCCCCCCCCCCCCCCCCCCCCCCCCCCCCCCCCCCCCCCCCCCCCCCCCCCCCCCCCCCCCCCCCCCCCCCCCCCCCCCCCCCCCCCCCCCCCCCCCCCCCCCCCCCCCCCCCCCCCCCCCCCCCCCCCCCCCCCCCCCCCCCCCCCCCCCCCCCCCCCCCCCCCCCCCCCCCCCCCCCCCCCCCCCCCCCCCCCCCCCCCCCCCCCCCCCCCCCCCCCCCCCCCCCCCCCCCCCCCCCCCCCCCCCCCCCCCCCCCCCCCCCCCCCCCCCCCCCCCCCCCCCCCCCCCCCCCCCCCCCCCCCCCCCCCCCCCCCCCCCCCCCCCCCCCCCCCCCCCCCCCCCCCCCCCCCCCCCCCCCCCCCCCCCCCCCCCCCCCCCCCCCCCCCCCCCCCCCCCCCCCCCCCCCCCCCCCCCCCCCCCCCCCCCCCCCCCCCCCCCCCCCCCCCCCCCCCCCCCCCCCCCCCCCCCCCCCCCCCCCCCCCCCCCCCCCCCCCCCCCCCCCCCCCCCCCCCCCCCCCCCCCCCCCCCCCCCCCCCCCCCCCCCCCCCCCCCCCCCCCCCCCCCCCCCCCCCCCCCCCCCCCCCCCCCCCCCCCCCCCCCCCCCCCCCCCCCCCCCCCCCCCCCCCCCCCCCCCCCCCCCCCCCCCCCCCCCCCCCCCCCCCCCCCCCCCCCCCCCCCCCCCCCCCCCCCCCCCCCCCCCCCCCCCCCCCCCCCCCCCCCCCCCCCCCCCCCCCCCCCCCCCCCCCCCCCCCCCCCCCCCCCCCCCCCCCCCCCCCCCCCCCCCCCCCCCCCCCCCCCCCCCCCCCCCCCCCCCCCCCCCCCCCCCCCCCCCCCCCCCCCCCCCCCCCCCCCCCCCCCCCCCCCCCCCCCCCCCCCCCCCCCCCCCCCCCCCCCCCCCCCCCCCCCCCCCCCCCCCCCCCCCCCCCCCCCCCCCCCCCCCCCCCCCCCCCCCCCCCCCCCCCCCCCCCCCCCCCCCCCCCCCCCCCCCCCCCCCCCCCCCCCCCCCCCCCCCCCCCCCCCCCCCCCCCCCCCCCCCCCCCCCCCCCCCCCCCCCCCCCCCCCCCCCCCCCCCCCCCCCCCCCCCCCCCCCCCCCCCCCCCCCCCCCCCCCCCCCCCCCCCCCCCCCCCCCCCCCCCCCCCCCCCCCCCCCCCCCCCCCCCCCCCCCCCCCCCCCCCCCCCCCCCCCCCCCCCCCCCCCCCCCCCCCCCCCCCCCCCCCCCCCCCCCCCCCCCCCCCCCCCCCCCCCCCCCCCCCCCCCCCCCCCCCCCCCCCCCCCCCCCCCCCCCCCCCCCCCCCCCCCCCCCCCCCCCCCCCCCCCCCCCCCCCCCCCCCCCCCCCCCCCCCCCCCCCCCCCCCCCCCCCCCCCCCCCCCCCCCCCCCCCCCCCCCCCCCCCCCCCCCCCCCCCCCCCCCCCCCCCCCCCCCCCCCCCCCCCCCCCCCCCCCCCCCCCCCCCCCCCCCCCCCCCCCCCCCCCCCCCCCCCCCCCCCCCCCCCCCCCCCCCCCCCCCCCCCCCCCCCCCCCCCCCCCCCCCCCCCCCCCCCCCCCCCCCCCCCCCCCCCCCCCCCCCCCCCCCCCCCCCCCCCCCCCCCCCCCCCCCCCCCCCCCCCCCCCCCCCCCCCCCCCCCCCCCCCCCCCCCCCCCCCCCCCCCCCCCCCCCCCCCCCCCCCCCCCCCCCCCCCCCCCCCCCCCCCCCCCCCCCCCCCCCCCCCCCCCCCCCCCCCCCCCCCCCCCCCCCCCCCCCCCCCCCCCCCCCCCCCCCCCCCCCCCCCCCCCCCCCCCCCCCCCCCCCCCCCCCCCCCCCCCCCCCCCCCCCCCCCCCCCCCCCCCCCCCCCCCCCCCCCCCCCCCCCCCCCCCCCCCCCCCCCCCCCCCCCCCCCCCCCCCCCCCCCCCCCCCCCCCCCCCCCCCCCCCCCCCCCCCCCCCCCCCCCCCCCCCCCCCCCCCCCCCCCCCCCCCCCCCCCCCCCCCCCCCCCCCCCCCCCCCCCCCCCCCCCCCCCCCCCCCCCCCCCCCCCCCCCCCCCCCCCCCCCCCCCCCCCCCCCCCCCCCCCCCCCCCCCCCCCCCCCCCCCCCCCCCCCCCCCCCCCCCCCCCCCCCCCCCCCCCCCCCCCCCCCCCCCCCCCCCCCCCCCCCCCCCCCCCCCCCCCCCCCCCCCCCCCCCCCCCCCCCCCCCCCCCCCCCCCCCCCCCCCCCCCCCCCCCCCCCCCCCCCCCCCCCCCCCCCCCCCCCCCCCCCCCCCCCCCCCCCCCCCCCCCCCCCCCCCCCCCCCCCCCCCCCCCCCCCCCCCCCCCCCCCCCCCCCCCCCCCCCCCCCCCCCCCCCCCCCCCCCCCCCCCCCCCCCCCCCCCCCCCCCCCCCCCCCCCCCCCCCCCCCCCCCCCCCCCCCCCCCCCCCCCCCCCCCCCCCCCCCCCCCCCCCCCCCCCCCCCCCCCCCCCCCCCCACCCCCCCCCCCCCCCCCCCCCCCCCCCCCCCCCCCCCCCCCCCCCCCCCCCCCCCCCCCCCCCCCCCCCCCCCCCCCCCCCCCCCCCCCCCCCCCCCCCCCCCCCCCCCCCCCCCCCCCCCCCCCCCCCCCCCCCCCCCCCCCCCCCCCCCCCCCCCCCCCCCCCCCCCCCCCCCCCCCCCCCCCCCCCCCCCCCCCCCCCCCCCCCCCCCCCCCCCCCCCCCCCCCCCCCCCCCCCCCCCCCCCCCTCCCCCCCCCCCCCCCCCCCCCCCCCCCCCCCCCCCCCCCCCCCCCCCCCCCCCCCCCCCCCCCCCCCCCCCCCCCCCCCCCCCCCCCCCCCCCCCACCCCCCCCCCCCCCCCCCCCCCCCCCCCCCCCCCCCCCCCCCCCCCCCCCCCCCCCCCCCCCCCCCCCCCCCCCCCCCCCCCCCCCCCCCCCCCCCCCCCCCCCCCCCCCCCCCCCCCCCCCCCCCCCCCCCCCCCCCCCCCCCCCCCCCCCCCCCCCCCCCCCCCCCCCCCCCCCCCCCCCCCCCCCCCCCCCCCCCCCCCCCCCCCCCCCCCCCCCCCCCCCCCCCCCCCCCCCCCCCCCCCCCCCCCCCCCCCCCCCCCCCCCCCCCCCCCCCCCCCCCCCCCCCCCCCCCCCCCCCCCCCCCCCCCCCCCCCCCCCCCCCCCCCCCCCCCCCCCCCCCCCCCCCCCCCCCCCCCCCCCCCCCCCCCCCCCCCCCCCCCCCCCCCCCCCCCCCCCCCCCCCCCCCCCCCCCCCCCCCCCCCCCACCCCCCCCCCCCCCCCCCCCCCCCCCCCCCCCCCCCCCCCCCCCCCCCCCCCCCCCCCCCCCCCCCCCCCCCCCCCCCCCCCCCCCCCCCCCCCCCCCCCCCCCCCCCCCCCCCCCCCCCCCCCCCCCCCCCCCCCCCCCCCCCCCCCCCCCCCCCCCCCCCCCCCCCCCCCCCCCCCCCCCCCCCCCCCCCCCCCCCCCCCCCCCCCCCCCCCCCCCCCCCCCCCCCCCCCCCCCCCCCCCCCCCCCCCCCCCCCCCCCCCCCCACCCCCCCCCCCCCCCCCCCCCCCCCCCCCCCCCCCCCCCCCCCCCCCCCCCCCCCCCCCCCCCCCCCCCCCCCCCCCCCCCCCCCCCCCCCCCCCCCCCCCCCCCCCCCCCCCCCCCCCCCCCCCCCCCCCCCCCCCCCCCCCCCCCCCCCCCCCCCCCCCCCCCCCCCCCCCCCCCCCCCCCCCCCCCCCCCCCCCCCCCCCCCCCCCCCCCCCCCCCCCCCCCCCCCCCCCCCCCCCCCCCCCCCCCCCCCCCCCCCCCCCCCCCCCCCCCCCCCCCCCCCCCCCCCCCCCCCCCCTCCCCCCCCCCCCCCCCCCCCCCCCCCCCCCCCCCCCCCCCCCCCCCCCCCCCCCCCCCCCCCCCCCCCCCCCCCCCCCCCCCCCCCCCCCCCCCCCCCCCCCCCCCCCCCCCCCCCCCCCCCCCCCCCACCCCCCCCCCCCCCCCCCCCCCCCCCCCCCCCCCCCCCCCCCCCCCCCCCCCCCCCCCCCCCCCCCCCCCCCCCCCCCCCCCCCCCCCCCCCCCCCCCCCCCCCCCCCCCCCCCCCCCCCCCCCCCCCCCCCCCCCCCCCCCCCCCCCCCCCCCCCCCCCCCCCCCCCCCCCCCCCCCCCCCCCCCCCCCCCCCCCCCCCCCCCCCCCCCCCCCCCCCCCCCCCCCCCCCCCCCCCCCCCCCCCCCCCCCCCCCCCCCCCCCCCCCCCCCCCCCCCCCCCCCCCCCCCCCCCCCCCCCCCCCCCCCCCCCCCCCCCCCCCCCCCCCCCCCCCCCCCCCCCCCCCCCCCCCCCCCCCCCCCCCCCCCCCCCCCCCCCCCCCCCCCCCCCCCCCCCCCCCCCCCCCCCCCCCCCCCCCCCCCCCCCCCCCCCCCCCCCCCCCCCCCCCCCCCCCCCCCCCCCCCCCCCCCCCCCCCCCCCCCCCCCCCCCCCCCCCCCCCCCCCCCCCCCCCCCCCCCCCCCCCCCCCCCCCCCCCCCCCCCCCCCCCCCCCCCCCCCCCCCCCCCCCCCCCCCCCCCCCCCCCCCCCCCCCCCCCCCCCCCCCCCCCCCCCCCCCCCCCCCCCCCCCCCCCCCCCCCCCCCCCCCCCCCCCCCCCCCCCCCCCCCCCCCCCCCCCCCCCCCCCCCCCCCCCCCCCCCCCCCCCCCCCCCCCCCCCCCCCCCCCCCCCCCCCCCCCACCCCCCCCCCCCCCCCCCCCCCCCCCCCCCCCCCCCCCCCCCCCCCCCCCCCCCCCCCCCCCCCCCCCCCCCCCCCCCCCCCCCCCCCCCCCCCCCCCCCCCCCCCCCCCCCCCCCCCCCCCCCCCCCCCCCCCCCCCCCCCCCCCCCCCCCCCCCCCCCCCCCCCCCCCCCCCCCCCCCCCCCACCCCCCCCCCCCCCCCCCCCCCCCCCCCCCCCCCCCCCCCCCCCCCCCCCCCCCCCCCCCCCCCCCCCCCCCCCCCCCCCCCCCCCCCCCCCCCCCCCCCCCCCCCCCCCCCCCCCCCCCCCCCCCCCCCTCCCCCCCCCCCCCCCCCCCCCCCCCCCCCCCCCCCCCCCCCCCCCCCCCCCCCCCCCCCCCCCCCCCCCCCCCCCCCCCCCCCCCCCCCCCCCCCCCCCCCCCCCCCCCCCCCCCCCCCCCCCCCCCCCCCCCCCCCCCCCCCCCCCCCCCCCCCCCCCCCCCCCCCCCCCCCCCCCCCCCCCCCCCCCCCCCCCCCCCCCCCCCCCCCCCCCCCCCCCCCCCCCCCCCCCCCCCCCCCCCCCCCCCCCCCCCCCCCCCCCCCCCCCCCCCCCCCCCCCCCCCCCCCCCCCCCCCCCCCCCCCCCCCCCCCCCCCCCCCCCCCCCCCCCCCCCCCCCCCCCCCCCCCCCCCCCCCCCCCCCCCCCCCCCCCCACCCCCCCCCCCCCCCCCCCCCCCCCCCCCCCCCCCCCCCCCCCCCCCCCCCCCCCCCCCCCCCCCCCCCCCCCCCCCCCCCCCCCCCCCCCCCCCCCCCCCCCCCCCCCCCCCCCCCCCCCCCCCCCCCCCCCCCCCCCCCCCCCCCCCCCCCCCCCCCCCCCCCCCCCCCCCCCCCCCCCCCCCCCCCCCCCCCCCCCCCCCCCCCCCCCCCCCCCCCCCCCCCCCCCCCCCCCCCCCCCCCCCCCCCCCCCCCCCCCCCCCCCCCCCCCCCCCCCCCCCCCCCCCCCCCCCCCCCCCCCCCCCCCCCCCCCCCCCCCCCCCCCCCCCCCCCCCCCCCCCCCCCCCCCCCCCCCCCCCCCCCCCCCCCCCCCCCCCCCCCCCCCCACCCCCCCCCCCCCCCCCCCCCCCCCCCCCCCCCCCCCCCCCCCCCCCCCCCCCCCCCCCCCCCCCCCCCCCCCCCCCCCCCCCCCCCCCCCCCCCCCCCCCCCCCCCCCCCCCCCCCCCCCCCCCACCCCCCCCCCCCCCCCCCCCCCCCCCCCCCCCCCCCCCCCCCCCCCCCCCCCCCCCCCCCCCCCCCCCCCCCCCCCCCCCCCCCCCCCCCCCCCCCCCCCCCCCCCCCCCCCCCCCCCCCCCCCCCCCCCCCCCCCCCCCCCCCCCCCCCCCCCCCCCCCCCCCCCCCCCCCCCCCCCCCCCCCCCCCCCCCCCCCCCCCCCCCCCCCCCCCCCCCCCCCCCCCCCCCCCCCCCCCCCCCCCCCCCCCCCCCCCCCCCCCCCCCCCCCCCCCCCCCCCCCCCCCCCCCCCCCCCCCCCCCCCCCCCCCCCCCCCCCCCCCCCCCCCCCACCCCCCCCCCCCCCCCCCCCCCCCCCCCCCCCCCCCCCCCCCCCCCCCCCCCCCCCCCCCCCCCCCCCCCCCCCCCCCCCCCCCCCCCCCCCCCCCCCCCCCCCCCCCCCCCCCCCCCCCCCCCCCCCCCCCCCCCCCCCCCCCCCCCCCCCCCCCCCCCCCCCCCCCCCCCCCCCCCCCCCCCCCCCCCCCCCCCCCCCCCCCCCCCCCCCCCCCCCCCCCCCCCCCCCCCCCCCCCCCCCCCCCCCCCCCCCCCCCCCCCCCCCCCCCCCCCCCCCCCCCCCCCCCCCCCCCCCCCCCCCCCCCCCCCCCCCCCCCCCCCCCCCCCCCCCCCCCCCCCCCCCCCCCCCCCCCCCCCCCCCCCCCCCCCCCCCCCCCCCCCCCCCCCCCCCCCCCCCCCCCCCCCCCCCCCCCCCCCCCCCCCCCCCCCCCCCCCCCCCCCCCCCCCCCCCCCCCCCCCCCCCCCCCCCCCCCCCCCCCCCCCCCCCCCCCCCCCCCCCCCCCCCCCCCCCCCCCCCCCCCCCCCCCCCCCCCCCCCCCCCCCCCCCCCCCCCCCCCCCCCCCCCCCCCCCCCCCCCCCCACCCCCCCCCCCCCCCCCCCCCCCCCCCCCCCCCCCCCCCCCCCCCCCCCCCCCCCACCCCCCCCCCCCCCCCCCCCCCCCCCCCCCCCCCCCCCCCCCCCCCCCCCCCCCCCCCCCCCCCCCCCCCCCCCCCCCCCCCCCCCCCCCCCCCCCCCCCCCCCCCCCCCCCCCCCCCCCCCCCCCCCCCCCCCCCCCCCCCCCCCCCCCCCCCCCCCCCCCCCCCCCCCCCCCCCCCCCCCCCCCCCCCCCCCCCCCCCCCCCCCCCCCCCCCCCCCCCCCCCCCCCCCCCCCCCCCCCCCCCCCCCCCCCCCCCCCCCCCCCCCCCCCCCCCCCCCCCCCCCCCCCCCCCCCCCCCCCCCCCCCCCCCCCCCCCCCCCCCCCCCCCCCCCCCCCCCCCCCCCCCCCCCCCCCCCCCCCCCCCCCCCCCCCCCCCCCCCCCCCCCCCCCCCCCCCCCCCCCCCCCCCCCCCCCCCCCCCCCCCCCCCCCCCCCCCCCCCCCCCCCCCCCCCCCCCCCCCCCCCCCCCCCCCCCCCCCCCCCCCCCCCCCCCCCCCCCCCCCCCCCCCCCCCCCCCCCCCCCCCCCCCCCCCCCCCCCCCCCCCCCCCCCCCCCCCCCCCCCCCCCCCCCCCCCCCCCCCCCCCCCCCCCCCCCCCCCCCCCCCCCCCCCCCCCCCCCCCCCCCCCCCCCCCCCCCCCCCCCCCCCCCACCCCCCCCCCCCCCCCCCCCCCCCCCCCCCCCCCCCCCCCCCCCCCCCCCCCCCCCCCCCCCCCCCCCCCCCCCCCCCCCCCCCCCCCCCCCCCCCCCCCCCCCCCCCCCCCCCCCCCCCCCCCCCCCCCCCCCCCCCCCCCCCCCCCCCCCCCCCCCCCCCCCCCCCCCCCCCCCCCCCCCCCCCCCCCCCCCCCCCCCCCCCCCCCCCCCCCCCCCCCCCCCCCCCCCCCCCCCCCCCCCCCCCCCCCCCCCCCCCCCCCCCCCCCCCCCCCCCCCCCCCCCCCCCCCCCCCCCCCCCCCCCCCCCCCCCCCCCCCCCCCCCCACCCCCCCCCCCCCCCCCCCCCCCCCCCCCCCCCCCCCCCCCCCCCCCCCCCCCCCCCCCCCCCCCCCCCCCCCCCCCCCCCCCCCCCCCCCCCCCCCCCCCCCCCCCCCCCCCCCCCCCCCCCCCCCCCCCCCCCCCCCCCCCCCCCCCCCCCCCCCCCCCCCCCCCCCCCCCCCCCCCCCCCCCCCCCCCCCCCCCCCCCCCCCCCCCCCCCCCCCCCCCCCCCCCCCCCCCCCCCCCCCCCCCCCCCCCCCCCCCCCCCCCCCCCCCCCCCCCCCCCCCCCCCCCCCCCCCCCCCCCCCCCCCCCCCCCCCCCCCCCCCCCCCCCCCCCCCCCCCCCCCCCCCCCCCCCCCCCCCCCCCCCCCCCCCCACCCCCCCCCCCCCCCCCCCCCCCCCCCCCCCCCCCCCCCCCCCCCCCCCCCCCCCCCCCCCCCCCCCCCCCCCCCCCCCCCCCCCCCCCCCCCCCCCCCCCCCCCCCCCCCCCCCCCCCCCCCCCCCCCCCCCCCCCCCCCCCCCCCCCCCCCCCCCCCCCCCCCCCCCCCCCCCCCCCCCCCCCCCCCCCCCCCCCCCCCCCCCCCCCCCCCCCCCCCCCCCCCCCCCCCCCCCCCCCCCCCCCCCCCCCCCCCCCCCCCCCCCCCCCCCCCCCCCCCCCCCCCCCCCCCCCCCCCCCCCCCCCCCCCCCCCCCCCCCCCCCCCCCCCCCCCCCCCCCCCCCCCCCCCCCCCCCCCCCCCCCCCCCCCCCCCCCCCCCCCCCCCCCCCCCCCCCCCCCCCCCCCCCCCCCCCCCCCCCCCCCCCCCCCCCCCCCCCCCCCCCCCCCCCCCCCCCCCCCCCCCCCCCCCCCCCCCCCCCCCCCCCCCCCCCCCCCCCCCCCCCCCCCCCCCCCCCCCCCCCCCCCCCCCCCCCCCCCCCCCCCCCCCCCCCCCCCCCCCCCCCCCCCCCACCCCCCCCCCCCCCCCCCCCCCCCCCCCCCCCCCCCCCCCCCCCCCCCCCCCCCCCCCCCCCCCCCCCCCCCCCCCCCCCCCCCCCCCCCCCCCCCCCCCCCCCCCCCCCCCCCCCCCCCCCCCCCCCCCCCCCCCCCCCCCCCCCCCCCCCCCCCCCCCCCCCCCCCCCCCCCCCCCCCCCCCCCCCCCCCCCCCCCCCCCCCCCCCCCCCCCCCCCCCCCCCCCCCCCCCCCCCCCCCCCCCCCCCCCCCCCCCCCCCCCCCCCCCCCCCCCCCCCCCCCCCCCCCCCCCCCCCCCCCCCCCCCCCCCCCCCCCCCCCCCCCCCCCCCCCCCCCCCCCCCCCCCCCCCCCCCCCCCCCCCCCCCCCCCCCCCCCCCCCCCCCCCCCCCCCCCCCCACCCCCCCCCCCCCCCCCCCCCCCCCCCCCCCCCCCCCCCCCCCCCCCCCCCCCCCCCCCCCCCCCCCCCCCCCCCCCCCCCCCCCCCCCCCCCCCCCTCCCCCCCCACCCCCCCCCCCCCCCCCCCCCCCCCCCCCCCCCCCCCCCCCCCCCCCCCCCCCCCCCCCCCCCCCCCCCCCCCCCCCCCCCCCCCCCCCCCCCCCCCCCCCCCCCCCCCCCCCCCCCCCCCCCCCCCCCCCCCCCCCCCCCCCCCCCCCCCCCCCCCCCCCCCCCACCCCCCCCCCCCCCCCCCCCCCCCCCCCCCCCCCCCCCCCCCCCCCCCCCCCCCCCCCCCCCCCCCCCCCCCCCCCCCCCCCCCCCCCCCCCCCCCCCCCCCCCCCCCCCCCCCCCCCCCCCCCCCCCCCCCCCCCCCCCCCCCCCCCCCCCCCCCCCCCCCCCCCGCCCCCCCCCCCCCCCCCCCCCCCCCCCCCCCCCCCCCCCCCCCCCCCCCCCCCCCCCCCCCCCCCCCCCCCCCCCCCCCCCCCCCCCCCCCCCCCCCCCCCCCCCCCCCCCCCCCCCCCCCCCCCCCCCCCCCCCCCCCCCCCCCCCCCCCCCCCCCCCCCCCCCCCCCCCCCCCCCCCCCCCCCCCGCCCCCCCCCCCCCCCCCCCCCCCCCCCCCCCCCCCCCCCCCCCCCCCCCCCCCCCCCCCCCCCCCCCCCCCCCCCCCCCCCCCCCCCCCCCCCCCCCCCCCCCCCCCCCCCCCCCCCCCCCCCCCCCCCCCCCCCCCCCCCCCCCCCCCCCCCCCCCCCCCCCCCCCCCACCCCCCCCCCCCCCCCCCCCCCCCCCCCCCCCCCCCCCCCCCCCCCCCCCCCCCCCCCCCCCCCCCCCCCCCCCCCCCCCCCCCCCCCCCCCCCCCCCCCCCCCCCCCCCCCCCCCCCCCCCCCCCCCCCCCCCCCCCCCCCCCCCCCCCCCCCCCCCCCCCCCCCCCCCCCCCCCCCCCCCCCCCCCCCCCCCCCCCCCCCCCCCCCCCCCCCCCCCCCCCCCCCCCCCCCCCCCCCCCCCCCCCCCCCCCCCCCCCCCCCCCCCCCCCCCCCCCCACCCCCCCCCCCCCCCCCCCCCCCCCCCCCCCCCCCCCCCCCCCCCCCCCCCCCCCCCCCGCCCCCCCCCCCCCCCCCCCCCCCCCCCCCCCCCCCCCCCCCCCCCCCCCCCCCCCCCCCCCCCCCCCCCCCCCCCCCCCCCCCCCCCCCCCCCCCCCCCCCCCCCCCCCCCCCCCCCCCCCCCCCCCCCCCCCCCCCCCCCCCCCCCCCCCCCCCCCCCCCCCCCCCCGCCCCCCCCCCCCCCCCCCCCCCCCCCCCCCCCCCCCCCCCCCCCCCCCCCCCCCCCCCCCCCCCCCCCCCCCCCCCCCCCCCCCCCCCCCCCCCCCCCCCCCCCCCCCCCCCCCCCCCCCCCCCCCCCCCCCCCCCCCCCCCCCCCCCCCCCCCCCCCCCCCCCCCCCCCCCCCCCCCCCCCCCCCCCCCCGCCCCCCCCCCCCCCCCCCCCCCCCCCCCCCCCCCCCCCCCCCCCCCCCCCCCCCCCCCCCCCCCCCCCCCCCCCCCCCCCCCCCCCCGCCCCCCCCCCCCCCCCCCCCCCCCCCCCCCCCCCCCCCCCCCCCCCCCCCCCCCCCCCCCCCCCCCCCCCCCCCCCCCCCCCCCCCCCCCCCCCCCCCCCCCCCCCCCCCCCCCCCCCCCCCCCCCCCCCCCCCCCCCCCCCCCCCCCCCCCCCCCCCCCCGCCCCCCCCCCCCCCCCCCCCCCCCCCCCCCCCCCCCCCCCCCCCCCCCCCCCCCCCCCCCCCCCCCCCCCCCCCCCCCCCCCCCCCCCCCCCCCCCCCCCCCCCCCCCCCCCCCCCCCCCCCCCCCCCCCCCCCCCCCCCCCCCCCCCCCCCCACCCCCCCCCCCCCCCCCCCCCCCCCCCCCCCCCCCCCCCCCCCCCCCCCCCCCCCCCCCCCCCCCCCCCCCCCCCCCCCCCCCCCCCCCCCCCCCCCCCCCCCCCCCACCCCCCCCCCCCCCCCCCCCCCCCCCCCCCCCCCCCCCCCCCCCCCCCCCCCCCCCCCCCCCCCCCCCCCCCCCCCCCCCCCCCCCCCCCCCCCCCCCCCCCCCCCCCCCCCCCCCCCCCCCCCCCCCCCCCCCCCCCCCCCCCCCCCCCCCCCCCCCCCCCCCCCCCCCCCCCCCCCCCCCCCCCCCCCCCCCCCCCCCCCCCCCCCCCCCCCCCCCCCCCCCCACCCCCCCCCCCCCCCCCCCCCCCCCCGCCCCCCCCCCCCCCCCCCCCCCCCCCCCCCCCCCCCCCCCCCCCCCCCCCCCCCCCCCGCCCCCCCCCCCCCCCCCCCCCCCCCCCCCCCCCCCCCCCCCCCCCCCCCCCCCCCCCCCCCCCCCCCCCCACCCCCCCCCCCCCCCCCCCCCCCCCCCCCCCCCCCCCCCCCCCCCCCCCCCCCCCCCCCCCCCCCCCCCCCCCCCCCCCCCCCCCCCCCCCCCCCCCCCCCCCCCCCCCCCCGCCCCCCCCCCCCCCCCCCCCCCCCCCCCCCCCCCCCCCCCCCCCCCCCCCCCCCCCCCCCCCCCCCCCCCCCCCGCCCCCCCCCCCCCCCCCCCCCCCCCCCCCCCCCCCCCCCCCCCCCCCCCCCCCCCCCCCCCCCCCCCCCCCCCCCCCCCCCCCCCCCCCCCCCCCCCCCCCCCCCCCCCCCCCCCCCCCCCCCCCCCCCCCCCCCCCCCCCCCCCCCCCCCCCCCCCCCCCCCCCCCCCCCCCCCCCCCCCCCCCCCCCCCCCCCCCCCCGCCCCCCCCCCCCCCCCCCCCCCCCCCCCCCCCCCCCCCCCCCCCCCCCGCCCCCCCCCCCCCCCCCCCCCCCCCCCCCCCCCCCCCCCCCCCCCCCCCCCCCCCCCCCCCCCCCCCCCGCCCCCCCCCCCCCCCCCCCCCCCCCCCCCCCCCCCCCCCCCCCCCCCCCCCCCCCCCCCCCCCCCCCCCCCCCCCCCGCCCCCCCCCCCCCCCCCCCCCCCCCCCCCCCCCCCCCCCCCCCCCCCCCCCCCCCCCCCCCCCCCCCCCCCCCCCCCCCCCCCCGCCCCCCCCCCCCCCCCCCCCCCCCCCCCCCCCCCCCCCCCCCCCCCCCCCCCCCCCCCCCCCCCCCCCCCCCCCCCCCCCCCCCCCCCCCCCCCCCCCCCCCCCCCCCCCCCCCCCGCCCCCCCCCCCCCCCCCCCCCCCCCCCCCCCCCCCCCCCCGCCCCCCCCCCCCCCCCCCCCCCCCCCCCCCCCCCCCCCCGCCCCCCCCCCCCCCCCCCCCCCCCCCCCCCCCCCCCCCCCCCCCCCCCCCCCCCCCCCCCCCCCCCCCCCCCCCCCCCCCCCCCCCCCCCCCCCCCCCCCCCCCCCCCCCCCCCCCCCCCCCCCCCCCCCCCCCCCCCCCCCGCCCCCCCCCCCCCCCCCCCCCCCGCCCCCCCCCCCCCCCCCCCCCCCCCCCCCCCCCCCCCCCCCCCCCCCCCCCCCCGCCCCCCCCCCCCCCCCCCCCCCCCCCCCCCCCCCCCCCCCCCCCCCCCCCCCCCCCCCCCGCCCCCCCCCCCCCCCCCCCCCCCCCCCCCCCCCCCCCCCCCCCCCCCCCCCCCCCCCCCCCCCCCCCCCCCCCCCCCCCCCCCCCCCCCCGCCCCCCCCCCCCCCCCCCCCCCCCCCCCCCCCCCCCCCCCCCCCCCCCCCCCCCCCCCCCCCCCCCCCCCCCCCCCCCCCCCCCCCCCCCCCCCCCCCCCCCCCCCCCCCCCCCCCCCCCCCCCCCCCCCCCCCCCCCCCCCCCCCCCCCCCCCCCCCCCCCCCCCCCCCCCCCCCCCCCCCCCCCCCGCCCCCCCCCCCCCCCCCCCCCCCCCCCCCCCCCCGCCCCCCCCCCCCCCCCCCCCCCCCCCCCCCCCCCCGCCCCCCCCCCCCCCCCCCCCCCCCCCCCCCCCCCCCCCCCCCCCCCCCCCCCCCCCCCCCCCCCCGCCCCCCCCCCCCCCCCCCCCCCCCCCCCCCCCCCCCCCCCCCCCCCCCCCCCCCCCCCCCCCCCCCCCCCCCCCCCCCCCCCCCCCCCCCCCCCCCCCCCCCCCCCCCCCCGCCCCCCCCCCCCCCCCCCCCCCCCCCCCCCCCCCCCCCCCCCCCCCCCCCCCCCCCCCCCCCCCCCCCCCCCCCCCCCGCCCCCCCCCCCCCCCCCCCCCCCCCCCCCCCCCCCCCCCCCCCCCCCCCCCCCCCCCCCCCCCCGCCCCCCCCCCCCCCCCCCCCCCCCCCCCCCCCCCCCCCCCCCCCCCCCCCCCCCCCCCCCCCCCCCCCCCCCCCCCCCCCCCCCCCCCCCCCCCCCCCCCCCCCCCCCCCCCCCCCCCCCCCCCCCCCCCCCCCCCCCCCCCCCCCCCCCCCCGCCCCCCCCCCCCCCCCCCCCCCCCCCCCCCCCCCCCCCCCCCCCCCCCCCCCCCCCCCCCCCCCCCCCCCCCCCCCCCCCCCCCCCCCCCCCCCCCCCCCCCCCCCCCCCCCCCCCCCCCCCCCCCCCCCCCCCCCCCCCCCCCCCCCCCCGCCCCCCCCCCCCCCCCCCCCCCCCCCCCCCCCCCCCCCCCCCCCCCCCCCCCCCCCCCCCCCCCCCCCCCCCCCCCCCCCCCCCCCCCCCCCCCCCCCCCCCCCCCCCCCCCCCCCCCCCCCCCCCCCCCCCCCCCCCCCCCCCCCCCCCCCCCCCCCCCCCCCCCCCCCCCCCCCCCCCCCCCCCCCCCCCCCCCCCCCCCCCCCCCCCCCCCCCCCCCCCCCCCCCCCCCCCGCCCCCCCCCCCCCCCCCCCCCCCCCCCCCCCCCCCCCCCCCCCCCCCCCCCCCCCCCCCCCCCCCCCCCCCCCCCCCCCCCCCCCCCCCCCCCCCCCCCGCCCCCCCCCCCCCCCCCCCCCCCCCCCCCCCCCCCCCCCCCCCCCCCCCCCCCCCCCCCCCCCCCCCCCCCCCCCCCCCCCCGCCCCCCCCCCCCCCCCCCCCCCCCCCCCCCCCCCCCCCCCCCCCCCCCCCCCCCCCCCCCCCCCCCCCCCCCCCCCCCCCCCCCCCCCCCCCCCCCCCCCCCCCCCCCCCCCCCCCCCCCCCCCCCCCCCCCCCCCCCCCCCCCCCCCCCCCCCC